TTTTAAAATTTCCGTGGCGACCGGCGCGACGGCGCCACCAGAGGTGCGCCGGCGGGCGAGGGCCAGCAGCGTAGGAGAGCAGTAACCTGACGGAGCTTGAGCATCGGCTGCTGACGATCGTAGAACCCTGCGCAGCAACATGGAGGGCGTGCAGCAATCAGTAGGCCCACCAGGGGCGCCCGCCGTATGATAGAGATGCGTGGCCGGGTCCGGTCTACTATCGCGATGGCACAGCGCTTTTTTTACTAACGGCAACATGCTATTTCGTAGCGGTTTGTTGATCGTGCGAACGCCCAGCGATGAGTAGAGGGCGACACTGAGCTCGAGCGTTCGGTGGGTATGTTCGTAGCGACGGAGGGTGCGTGTGACGGAGGCACTGTAGTGGCTGTTTCTTCGTGTTTTTACAGGCCGACCATAAGCGGTACGGCGGGCAGCGCGGCGGCGCGGGTGGAGATGCCGAACCGTGAGCCACGGCTCTGTGCGTAGCCACCCTCATCCAATGAGCCTATGAGAGTGCGCCGTTTACCTAGATGGAAGAGGTGAGGGAGGAGGGGACTAGGGGAGGTGAAGGAGGTGGAGAGAGGGGAGGGAGGAGGGGAGAGGGAGTGGAAGGGAGGGGAAGGGAGAGAGGGAGGGAGGAGGCGGGAAGAGGGGGAGGAATGAGGGAGCAGGGAGAGGTGAGGGAGAAGGGCGAAGAGGGAAGAGGGTGAGGGGAGAGGTTGAGGGCGTAGTGGGAAGGAGAAGAGTATGGGGAGAGGTGAGAGGTAGGGAGGAGGGAGAGGGGAGAGGAGGGGAAGAGGGATGAGGTTGAAGGAGAAGGGGAAATGGTAGAGGTGAGGGGGAAAGGTGCGGGAGTGATGGGAGAGGGGAGAGAGGAAGGAGAGGTGAGAGGTGAGGGAAGGGGGGCAAGAACGACAAAAGAAAGTGAGGGAGGATGGGGGAGAGGAGGGAGGAGGGGGAGAGGGGAGGTGAGTGAGGGGGATGAGGGGAGTGAGGAGGGGGAGAGGGAGTGGAGGAGGGGAGAGGTGAGGAGGAGGGGAAGATGTGGAGAAAGAAGGGAGAGATGGAGGGAGGCAGGGGGACGAAGGGGGAGGAGGAAAGGGGAAGGGGAAAGGTGAGGGAGAGGGGAGGTGGAGAGAGGAGGAATGAGCGGGGAGGACGGGGGAGAGGTGAGGAGAAGGGAAGCGGGGAGAGGGAGGGGAAGTAGGTGAGTGAAGATTGGGAGAGGGGAGAGAGGAGGGAGAGGTGAGGGAGGATGGGGAGAGGGGAGAGAGGAGGGGGAGAGGTGAGAGGTGAGGGAGGAGGGGAGAATGATGATGATGATAATGATGATGGCTGATGATGATGCTGAGAATGATGAGTGCTCGCTGCTGCTGCTGATGATGCATCGATGATAATGATGCCTGAGAGTGGCTGCTGCTGGCTGCTGATGATGATGAATGATCTGATGATGATGATGTTGACGTTGTTACAGGTGTTCACCGAGAGGGCAGGCGCCGCCGCAGTACAGTGAGGTAGAGAAGCCCTCAGCATCCACCGCTACGCGTGAACTAGACGACCTCATGGCTTCTCTCTCAGACTTCAAGGTTGTCTCCTCCTGTACCCTGGCTTGTCTAGGGTCTCCTCCTGTGTACCCTGCTTGTCTAGTCTCCTCCTGTACCCTGGCTTGTCTAGGTCTCCTCCTGTACCCTGGCTTGTCTAGGTCTCCAACGTTATAACAATTACAAATAAATAAATAAAAATTTAAATATATGTATATATAATGTATATGAGAAAGAGAGAGGGGAGAAGAGAGAGTGAGAAGAGAGAGAGAGAGAGAGAGAGAAGAGAGAGAGAGATGGAGTTAGGTGTCTGCCCCAGTACAATTGTCGCTGTAAGGAGAGAGGAGAGAGATGAGAGGTTAGGTTGGGCCCCAGTGAACATGTAGCTGTAAGGGAGAGAGGGAGAGAGAGAGATAGAGAGATGGGAGGTTTATGGCTGTCCCCCGCCACACAGTAGCATGTAGCTGTAAGGGAGAGAGAAAGAGAGAGAGAGAGAGAAGAGATGGAGGTTAGGCTGCCCAGTGACATTGTATGCTGTAAGGGAGAGAGAGATAAAGTTTAGGCGCCGCCAGTAATGTATTCTGTCAGGAAGAGAGAGAACGAATGGGAGGTTTTAGTCTGCCCGCAGTACATGTAGCTGTAAGGGAGAAGAGAGAGTATGCGGAGGCTTAGGCTGCCGCCAGACATGGTAGCTGGTAAAGGAGAGAGAAAGAGAGAGGAGAAGATGAGATGTTAGGCTGCCCCAGTAAACATGTAGCTGTAGAGGCGAGAGAGGCAGATGATAGTTTAGGCTGCCCCAGTACTATGTCGGCTGTCAGGAAGAAGAGAGAGTGGAGGTTAGTTCTGCCGCCAGTACATGTGGTGTTAAGGGGAGAGAGAAAGAGAGAAGAGAGAGAGAGAGATGGGAGTGTTAGGGCTGCCCCAGTACAATGTAGCTGTAAGGGGAGAGGAGATGAGAGTTTAGGCTGCCCGCAGTACTGATTGTAGCTGGTCCAGGTAAGAGAGAGAGATGGGAGGTTAGTCTGCCCCAGTACATGTAGTCGTAAGGGAGGAGAGAGAGATGGGAGGTAGGCTGCCCCAGTACATGTAGCTGAAGTGTAGAGAGAGATGGGAGGCCTCCCTCCCCTCTCCCCCTCCTCCCTCACCTCTCCTCAGGTACGGCACTCTCTAGGTCATTGATGAGGGTGGCTACGCACGGCCGTGGCTCAGGTTCCGGCTCCACCGCCGCGCCGCCGCCGCCGCCCGCGTACCCGTTATGGTCGCCTGTAAAAACACAAGAACAGCACTACAGTGCCTCCGTCACACGCGCCCGCCGTCGCTACGACATCCCACCGAACGCTGAGCTACAGTGTCGCCCTCTATCATTCGCGGGGTTCGACGTCACACGCTCGAAATAAGATTGTTGCCGTAGTAAAAACAAGCGCTGTCGCCATCACCGTGTGACCGACCCGCCCACGCGGCGCCCCCTGGTGGCTACCTGGTGCGCCTCCATGTTGCTGCGCGGTGTTTAGGTCGTCCAGCAGGTGGTCAAGCTCCGTCAGGTTACTGCTCATCACTACGCTGCTGCCCTCGCCGCCGGCGCCCCCTGGTGGCGCGTCGCCGCCGTCGCCACGGTAACCGTCGCGGTCGCCCTTGTAGGTCGTCTTCGTCGTGACGGTCTTGACGACGGTCACCGTGCGCACGTTCTGCTGCTGCTGCTGCTGCTGCTGCTGGTCGTACACCGCCTGTCAATCAATGAGAAACGACGACTCCGATTGGCTGCGCGTGCGGGAAGGGGGCGTGGTCTGCTGCACACGCACCTGGTGTATTATCATCAGAAACAAAATCTCAACATTGGTGTTAACCAACGATGGTAACATCCCAGTTGGCCTACGTCCGATTTCGCCTACACCCATTTCGCCTACACCCATTTCGCCTAGTCTCCGAATCGATAATATTCCCATTTCGCCTACGTCCCATTGTACTCCCATTGTACTATGTCCCATTGTATGTTCCAATTTTGTGTCTCCATTTTTCTCAAGTTGTGTTCTCATTATTTGTACCTATGTTTTCTTTTGGTTCCTGTAGTCTATGTATGCCAATCAAAATCACATTTTATTATGTATAAATGATTATTTTGTGAACAAACCGATCGTAGACGAAATGGGAATGGGGTCGATTTTGAGCGTAGACGAATTGGGAGTAGGCGAAGTAGGTGTAGACCAACTGGGAATTTTGCTGGTAGACGAAATGGGAATTTTGCCGTAGGCAAAATGGAAGTAAGCCAACCGGGAATAAACCTTTTTTTGCCCGGTCGATAACAGGTATATATCGGTATATATATAGGTTCGGTATATATCGAACATTATACGATAACAATTTTTCTCGTAGTTACGTGACGAAGCACACACCGGATCCATGTCCTTGTTGCTGTCACTGTCACTGCTGCTGCTGCTGCTGCTGCTGCTGCCGTCGTCGTCGTCTTGCTGTGACGGAACCACTTCTAGTGTGACGAGTCTCGCGGTGTCCGGGGATCGGGGCGGCGTCGGTGTCTGCACCTGTGTCTGCGTCTGTGTCGGCGTCTGTGTAGGCGTCTGCAGACCCTCGTAGCTGGGTGTGGTGAGCTTCGCTGTAGTGCTCTCTAGCTCAGCTAACAACGCATCTGTAACGAAGCGAACGAATGAATGAGTGAGTAACGAGTACTGAGTAGCAGTAGTAGCAGCAGCAGTAGCAACAGCAGCAGCAGCAGCAACATCAGCAGCAGTAGCAGCAGTAGTAGCAGCAGCAGTAATAGCAGCAGCAGTAGTAGCAACAGCAGCAGTAGTAACAACAGCAGCAGCAGCAACATCAGCAGCAGCAGCAGCAGCAGTAGTAGCAGCAGCAGTAATAGCAGCAGCAGTAGTAGCAACAGCAGCAGTAGTAACAACAGCAGCAGCAGCAACATCAGCAGCAGCAGCAGCAGCAGTA